CCATTGAGGAGATCAGATCCTTTAATAAATCCCTGCTTTATTCTTTAATTCTGTCCATTGAGGAGATCAGATCCTTTAATAAATCCCTGCTTTATCCTGTGACTCTGCCCAGCCCCTGCTCTAGGGCAGCCTGCACAAGGCATCACAAGGGCCACGTCCCTGCAGGGATGGGAACTGCTGGAAAACCCTTTCCACCAAGGAATTTTCCCAACACCCGACCTAAACCTCCCTGGCCATTCCCTCTCATCCCATCCCATGTTCCCCCCGTCCCTTGTAGGGACACCACCTCCAGAAGGAGACAATCCCACCCAGATCCAGCCCATGGGTCTGCTGCATCCCCCGACACATTTCTGAGGATCAATCCCTCTTTCTGATTAAAAAGTGAAGCAGCAAGGCAAAAAACATCCCCAATGCAGAAACAAGCCCATTTCTGTAATGTGAAGCAAAGCAATTCCATGTCTTGGCCTTGAAATCCTTGGAGTGCAACCATTTGGAATGTTGAAAACTGCCCCATCCACCAGCAGGAGCTGCTGACCCTCCTCAGAACACCTTTGTGGACAGTCACACCAGCAAATCCACAAGAAATCCAAATTAAGTCCATAACAAATCCATATTAAATCCAAATTAAATCCACAATAAACCCATATTAAACCCTTATCAAATCCATATCAAGCCTTGTGTCAAACCAAGGCCTGGCAGCCCCTCCCATGGGATTCCCAACCTCACCATCCATGGTTCTCCCTGAAGTTTCCCCAAATAAAGTGGCACTTTCAGCCCTGCCCCCCCCAGCCTTTCAGCTCCCTCTTAATTCCCAATTAACAAACTCCTGCTCCAGCTCCCAGCTCCGCCTGGAGCTGGGATATTCCTCCAAGACAAACACAGCCACACATCTTGGGGAGGGGAGCTTCTCATCCCGAGAAAATCTCACGGCAACGTGGCCAAATGACCTAATTATGACCAGATGAGGGGCACAAGAAGATGTTTTCTAGGAACGGGCTTTCCGACAGTTCTTTTCCTTCGGCAAACCCGTGTGGACACGCCGGGAACTGGGAAACAATTCCCTCTCCAGGCTGGCAAGGGAGCAAAGCTGGCAACACAGAGCTCCTTTCATCTCCTGGGTTTGGGCTGCCCCACCACAGGGGAGGAGCCCCACGACAGCTCCTGGGCTCCAGCAGCCCTGGAAAAGGGATGCAGGATCCTTGGAATGGCAGAATCAAAGTCCAGATGCTGCTGGAAGCTGGAACCCAGAGCTGGAGCATGAGTTCCAAA